ATTTTCAGTAATTGAGCTGCTTTGTGAAGAAGAGTAAGATATCTCTGGCAGCAAACCGAGTTGTCGAGATCAGATTGTAGATGAGTGGTTAAATACACAGGGGCCAGGTGTAGATCGACCATTAGTATGTCAAGGTGGTTACATCACTTCTAATGTCTGAGATCAGTAAGTCTCTCTGACTTTACAACTATAATGCCACTTTCATAGACTAGGGACTTTGGCTTTATCAGGCCAGAAAAGGATTGTGACATGCTATTTTTTCTGCTTCCTTCTAATCCTGGTGTTTTGACAGGGATGGTCTCCCAAGTGTGCGGATGGGTGACGCTAAGTCAACACCCACTCTGAGACACAAGTCTCTCTGTTTCTCTCTCCACATTGTCTTTTATTCTCGTCTCTTAGAATTAGTTCCCAGGAGGTTTTAGATCAGTGGGTTGTCCTCCAAGCCCTCTCCCCAGTGCCAAGGCTATGTCATATCAGTGGGACAGGCAAGGGCTCCAATGTGGCAGGGGCTAAGCCGTCTGTTGAGATGGGGGAACCTTGGGAAAATGCAAAAAGGATACAGATAAGAGCTATTGTTTTCATTCCAATCTCATCTGGGCTGAATTGGTTTCCCTCGAGCCACGCCACGCTTTATCCGAGCGGAGGAGAAGAGGGCATGAGGAGATTTTTGGGGCCCTCGTGGGATAACGACAATAAAGTCAGTGCTTGCTTTATTTATCTGCTCGTTCTAGGCCTCTGACAGGCCTTTCCAGACAAGTACAAGTCTTTTCTACACTTCCTCCTCAGTTTTCAGAGTCTATAAATGTCAGACTGTCTCTGAACTCTTTGTATTTTGAAATCCGAATGCAAATGTGGGAAGGAAATGTACGTTGTTCAATGGGCTGTGCTGCGTTTCTCATTTGAAGTAGCAGCAGCGCTGAGAGATGAATGGATGTGGCTGAGCTTTGTTTGATTTTTCAAAATTAATGGTCCACTTTTGTTTCTTTACATCGGTAATATGTTAGTATGACATTTAAGTATTATCCAGATGTTAAGCAGTGTTTCCATTGGCATTAGTGCTCTCTCCGGAGAAAATGGAATGCAACTTGGGAAACTGTGCAAAAAATATCCTCTTATTATTAATCTAAATTCCTTTCAAATGTTCTAGCTTTATAAGGGTACTTTGAAAAAAGCCAGACGTCTGTCTCATTAACTGCGTGTTTGCCTAAAGTATCCTCGCATGAAAACCCTGGAAGAGCCGTATAGTCTTAAACCGTAGCGGACAGGTAGTTTTCTGTGTCCATCATCCGCAAATGCTGGATATTCTTTACCTCTCTCAGGTAAAAATGTGTGGAGGACAGCTTCGGCACATTCCAACTGTAGTGTGTGTGTGTGTAGGAGTGAGGGAGCGGCCACTCTCAAGGGAGGCAGAGTGGAGCAGAATTGGAGCTGGCACCGCATTATCTCCAACAGTTGGTGCATTCCTTAATGATCAAGTGCTGGAGAAGCATCTGTGCACTGCTCTGTGTGTTGGTGTGTGTGTGTGTGTGTGTGTGTGTGTGTGTGTGTGTGTGTGTGTGTAAGACGCAGAGGAGGTATATGGGAAAAGTCTTCCCTAAAACCTCTTAACCCCCCAGGACAGATCCACCCCGGCCCTGTGCCATAAAAGGAAGTTTCTCCATTTCCAGCTTTTTTCAGCCTGGAGGAAAGAATGTACTGCTATTTGTTATACATATATATATGCTGGTATGTGTGTTGTATGTGGTTATTATCTGAGGGGAGGAGAGTGTCGTGACAGGAAGCGCTTTTATTCAAGAGACCTCAATCACACACACATAAAACACAGGGTCGCAGAATCTCACAAGGTCAAGGAAACAAACTGTGAGTCCTGGATTGGGAAAGTCAGCAAAGTAGAAATAATGTTAGAATGACCCAGACGGAGGTGCCCTGTCGTTCCCTCTGAAATGGAGGAAATGGAGAATCAAAGAAAATTTGATTTCCCCTTGATGTGACCTTGCACTGTATTAAAGCAGTGGCTGTCACCATTCAATTGAATTCAATTCAAGTTTATTTGTATAGCGCTTTTCATGATACAAATCTTTGCAAAGCAACTTTACAGAAAATTAAGTTCATACAATATATTTAGTGGTAGCTTATCAGTGGTGACTGTCAGTTAATGTACATATGGCAGAAATGTACGGAAAAATCAAAGACATAATCAAACAGACGATGAACACTATTAACAGCAATTATTATATGTTGCAATCAAACTTATAGCAAAATGTGGTAGTTCTGTATGTTGTTTGAGGGTTGGCATCATCTGAGGTCCTCTGAGGGGTTGGCATCATCTCTTCTCAGGTGTTCTGGATCCAGACTGAAGCTTGTGTAAATCCAAGTTACATCCCGTGGCAAAAACAGAGAAACAAATAGAGACATAATTAGCATAGCTGCTATTCCAACCAAGCAAAATTGATTTGTTTAACCCAAGCTAAAGAATAATAATGTGCATTTGATCAGATATAAATGCAGTACAAGATTATGAGATGCATTATTTGAATGCTTGGCCATAGACTCTCTCTCTTTGCAAGCTGTCAAACATTTTCATGCCCACAGTGGTCACTTTTTTTTTGTGCATTTACTTTCTCTTCGCCAATGTACACATATTTAGATCAGGTCAGAAGAGCTTTATTGCCAAGTGTGCTTACATACACAAGGAATTTTTCTCAGTAATATAGCTTCAATGTACGCATATAAACTCAACAATAAGGCACACAATAACAAAATGAAAGAATAAAAATATATAAAAGCATGAAGACCAGAATAGAAATATTCAAAAATATATTTAAATATTATGTACATGTTCACAGTGTTAAGGATAATATGAATTTACAGAATATTGCATTAAACAGTGGGAATATTGCACTAAGGGGGGTCTTGGGAGTCAACAGTTCAATAGGGAAATGGCCTGTGGGAAGAAACTGTTTCTGTGCCTAGATGTTTTATTTTTTATTATTTTATTGAAGTTTGTTTATTACTTATTTTTTATTTTTTTTTTGTTATTTACATTTTATTTTTGGTAATGGAAACCTTTTCCTCCAATTACAACTTTATACTGTACACTACCTTTTAAAAGTCTGGGGTTTTTACGATTTTTTTTTTTTTAAAAGAGGTTAAATTTATTCAGCAAGGATGCATCAAATTAATCAAATGGTGATAGTAAATACTTTTTAAAATGGCTACATAAAAGGGCTTCCATACATATGTGAATTAGTTTTTTAGTCAATAAGATAAAGCAGTGCTCGTGATAATAGAGGCATAGCTGCAACATAAATTTTTAAGGCATGAGATGAAGATCTCATCACACCACATTCATGAGTGTGATGATGTCACTCACTGGGAATGTTCTATGGCCTGGAGTACCTCAAGATACTGTATGACTACAATACAAGCAGACACAAAACACGCACAACAGAGTAGCCAAAGTCATTCTCATTCTCATGAATTGTGCCCTTTTGTTTGGCAAAGTGTGTTCACAAATGATCCATTGTGTTCACGAACGGTTTAACTACGGCTTACGGTGCCGGAGGGCTGCCAGCAGCGTGCAAGAATGTCTGCTTTAGCCCCGTGCCCTTTAGCCTTTCACACAGGGAACAAACTCTACCCTTCCTCTCCATGATGTCATCGAATGGCAACATGAGACCCGCAGCCCCTCTGCTCAGAGGTCACGGCCTGGAGAAGGTAGAGATCTGATCTTGATGTATTAAACTGTGCCTTTTGGACACTTCACCCGATTCCTCTTCTTTCTGTCCAGTGCATTTGATTGGGTGTTTCTCTGTCCCATGTGTGTGTATGTGTGTTTGTGTGATGGGAACAGGCTTACCCAGGCTGCGAGCTTCAAGCTCTTGCTGGTGAGCAGTGTGTTCTTTATCAACGACCTCGGGGCCGCGGCTCTGCGGATTCCAGCCATTCCTCCTCCTGATTCATTGTCTGCCAGACAAATGTTAATTGTTTTCATCATTGCCGGCTGCGCGGGGCCAGTCAAATGGGCCCATCTCACCCCGTCTGCCTTCCTCTTTAATGTCTTTCTTTGTGCGGCGCCTCATTCTTATCACTCTTTCAGCCTCTCCAGTTGACCTTCTACAGACCAAGGGTCACGTCTCACATTATCCACATATTATATGTGTGTTCGTCTTTGTGTTTCTGTCTGTATGTGCATGATTGAGAAATTAAGAAACACCATACCTGCCATCCTAAATAAAAAAATAAACAATTAGTACCTTTCATAAAGAAGATCTTTTCCCACTCCTAGGTAGAAACAGATTCACCATGACACTTTCACTGAATGTAGTTGACCTAACTTGAAAATATTGCATTAGAGCGTTTCATTCAGTTACAAACCCCAATGCATTTATTCTTTTAGAAATTAAAACATTTTTTATGACCTTTAGACATCACCCCTAATACGCTTAATGAACTAAGCTGACACGCTTTTCTACTGTAATGCACTCAGCTAGTGATCTCTATAGAATTTCACTTTATTACCACAGTCCAGCCGTTAGAACACGACATTTATTGTGTGCTGTGGCTGTTGAAAGACAAGTGTGTAACATTCACTTTCCTGAGAAGCAGACAGAATTTATTTCTTTCAGTTTGCTCAGCACACCTTTTCAATGGGAAGGTTTTCCCCCTGTTTCTTTCTGTCTTTTTTCTTTGTCTTTGAGGCCTCTTTTCTCTATGAGCACAAATTGTTTTGTTGCTCAAGGTTTGTGGGTCATACTCAAAGCTATGGATTTGAGAGATACAGAGGATTTCAATGCACACTGTCGTATGAATGCCTCTTTACTGCGGTTGTCTGCGTTATGGAGTGATTTCACTCAAACTGTGTCCGTGGTAATTCTCTTTTTATAGCTAATATGCAATTTAGGTTGCTTTTTTAAATAAAGCAGTACTTTATATAGTACTTTATATTTTTTTCTCTTTGTATATACATTCAGTTTCATTCTGAGTTGCTTTTGTTTCAGAATCCTGCATGGAGAAACTCCTTTCTAAAGACTGGAAAGAGAAGATGGAGCGACTCAACACAGGCGAGCTGTTAGGAGAAATTAAAGGTAAGAAGCCTAAAGCCTCTTACAAATATGTTTCAGAAAACAACCTTTTTTTGGTCACTCTTTCTTCTCAGAATGACTGTTATATGAGTGTGATGCACATTATGGCAGCTATATTTTGTTATTTATCTCCTGGAATGGAAATTAGACATAGAATTCAATGGAAAGGTAGGCTTGGTACAAACAGAGAACAGAGGAGAAGAATGCATGTGTCTTTGTATTGGAAGAAGGTACAGCCCATGCACGGTTTATACCCAGTGAAGGTGTTCATGGGATGCGGGGTTTTTATTTATTTTTTTGCACGAGCAGGTCTTAGCACTGGCTGTTACAGAGATGTGTTTATGTAGCAGGAGACAGCACTGCACCGGCTCTCTGATAACGCGCTAGTTCTGCCCGGCTCCAACCACGCACTCCTCCCTCACGATCCCTAACTCTCGTTCTCTTCCCTTTCTCTAGCACGCTGGGTATTGTCGTCCATTCCTGCCGACACACATATCCTCAGAGCTTTACTCTTGTTGCACCGCCACGTGTTTTGATAACAGCCTTTTCAGTAGGATGAGGTACAGGTGTCATAGCAGTCAGAATATCCGATGTTATAGCATCAATATGTCAGGGCGCTTTTAATAGAGAAGACATTTAGGAGGCAGTTAATAGCGGGATTTAGATTGCAAGGGCAATAACATTGGAGAGAAGTGTTATTGTTTTTTGTTCCCTCGCTTAATGGTTTCCTTTTCCTTCCCTGCGCTATTTAGAATTATGAATAACGTTTGTCCTTGGTTTTAATTATTGGATTAGACTTACTCTCTGCGGCGTGTGGGTGGAGGAGGGGTCGAGGTGGGCGGGGGCTGGGGAAGGGGGGAAAAGAAACAGTCGTACATTCTAATAAGTGCATTCATCGGCAATAACCTTAATGAACCCCCAAATGTAAATCACATCATAGTAAACTAGATTCATTGTACCTGCCCCCGTTATGTGGCACCATAGATCAAAGTGCAGCGAAGAAAATGGCGAGGAAAGATTTAGCCTTTTGAAAGGATATCTTTTTAAATTACAGGGTATTTTTCTGTTGGATAAATGGCATTGGGTGAGGTCATATTTAAAAGGTATAAACAGGTAGAAGGCGTTGATAATACCCCACCAGTGGCCTCCGTCGTGATTTCCAGCGAGGCTGCGGGCGACTGTAGAGAAACAGACAGAATTACTTTTCATATCATACCGGCAGCCTAAGGTTTCTAATTAGCCTGCCATTTCATATGACTGTAGACATTTCAAAGGCCTCCTTTGTGCTCCCCCTTACAAAATGTCTCTCTCTGCGTTTGAAGTCGGCCTGATGTAAATACGGGCAATTAAAAAGGAAGCTCAGGGTTGGAGACACACAAGGTCTGCTTAATTAATACACAAACAAAGGCACCAAGCTGGAAAAGAGAAAACACACACAACTTATGATTAAGATCTAAAGTGTTATGATAAATCAGAGAGTGCATTAATAGTCAGGTTAAAAAATCAATACAAAGGCCACACGTTCCTCCGGCTCGAAATTAATGGAAGAGAGCGCAGGATAAAAGATGGCACGAGGATGAAAAGGAAGCTGTTGCCTGTTTGGCCTTGCTGTTTTTGCTCTCATATTTGAACCGATGGCATTGTGCATTCTACCCACAGTTCTTTGTGCCATTGTCGCCGCACTACAAAAACCCGCCTTTGATCTTTGTTCGATAAATAAATCGACTAGGAATCGCTGTCCCTGCTGAACTGTGCGTCTGAATAAAATAAAGTTTCTCGCTGCTTTTGAAATCTCCGCAGCTGTTCTTTAAAGCCTTTTACATATTTTTCACCTTGTGAACCTGTCGAGGCACTACGCTGTGGTAAGGAACAGAGTTTAGGATCTAAAAAACGTCACAGATTGCTTCAGGGAACGAAGAACAATAGTGGAGAGAGAGAGTGGAAAAAAAGCTGAAACTCAGAACACTTAGACCTGTTTTCTGAAACGCCGCAACACGTCCGGACCTGCCCAACTTCGTTGCACAAAACAAGTAAACAAAGTCATCACACCAGATTGGTTTTAAATCGGTTTGCGTCTAACAACTTCAGTTAGTTCAGTTGACGTTTCTCATGTTTCAGATGGTTTTAAAGCCTTGTTTAACTAGTAAAATTAAATTGTATCAGGCCATCAGGCAGGCCAGAAATGTTTTTAAGTGCTCTTAAGTGTTGCAGAATCCTGCGTGTTTTCTTTAAGCCCCATGTTGACACCGGCTCAGGGTTGAGGGGCAGCGGTAGCAGGTACAGGGCATATGGGGGAGTCAGCTACGGACCGCTTTCCACCCGCCGCCACTGGAGCGGTGTGTTTGTTTTCATACCTGAGCACAGCTGTCAATCAGGAGGAACGGTGAAGAGAGAGATGAGATCTGCAAAACAAAACCACAAAGCAGGAGAAGCAGGATGTCTGGAGGACGTCCAAACCACAGCAGTGCCTGCTCGATTGTCAGAGAGAGAGAGGGAGAGATATATGAACAAATACAGAGTAACACATCAGATATATGCCAGAGAGTGTTAATCACCAAATTTAATGCAAAGAGGTGCGGCTGGTGCAATTAAGACGTTCATTTTTTTTATGTGTATTAGAAGCTTTGATTCACTTCAGCTAGATTTAATTTTTCATATAATTAAAGACATCAGCACCCGTGCACCCTTGTTTCATTATTCGATGGAAACTTCCAAAAAATATTTTAAATGAATATTCTGGTGGAATTTTAATTCGGCTTTGTCATTTTAATAGATTTCATTAGTGAATCAGAGGTCTGTGCTTCTGCCGCCGAGACGTTTTGTTTCTTTCGCCTTGAACGTTCAGGTGTCCCTGACTATTTAAAAAAAAAATGTGACAAAATGTCTGGAAATCAAACTGTACTTGCAAAGTATCGGAAACCCAGAAAAGGACAGAAAGTCTGAAATGTCTTAGCATTGTGTGACTGCATGAAAATGGTGACTTGAGCTGCTGTGTGGAAAAAGGGGTCCCTCGCTCTTTGCCTAATCAATTTCTGACTGTCTACATGCTTGTGGAGAGAAAGTCCTGTGGCTCGTAGATAAGTAGAAGCTTTTTAAGAGAGCGGCAGGGCTGAGTGTGATTTCGATGTGACTCGTACCTGGCTTAGGCGCTCTCAGACAGAGAGCGGACTGTGAGGGTACAGAGCGCCGATTGTTCCAGCAGCTGGATTTACTTGAAAACATGATTATTCAATTTAACATCAACTTTATTCTTAATGGCTCCAATAAAGGCAGAGAACCCATGCTAGTGTAGATACAGTATGTGATGTGACACTCAGGGATAAGCATGAACATTTTTTTAATGCATTGCTGTTCCATTTAAAAAAATATGGTATGAAACATGAAGCATTATACATTAAGGCAAAAATAAATCATAAAAAACCCCATTAAAACTAGAGCTGTTAAAGTTAGTGTTAACACATCGTTTTTATGCTGTTTACACATTTATTCAATTTACAGTTATTCAGTTACTTTTACTTTACTTTTACTTTTAGTCATTTAGCAGACGCT